AGACACCAGTGGCTGGTCAGTGGCCCAATCAGAAAAATTAACCTGTTTTCTCTCGTATTTAGGCCGGAGAGACATCGTCTTAAGGAAGCAGGAGAGACCATTTGAGAGAGAGCTGAGCGACTGCACACACTTTTGAGCCTTGTGCTATTGAACACTCAAAATAAAGAATAATTTTCACTTACCTTATTGCCGCCCCTGTCTTTTTCCCACAACAAAGAACCTTTCTACAGTAGTGCTGAAATCCAGGAAGTAGAAGAGACCTCGCTGATAAGATGACCACTCTGTCGATCTGTCCGTTTGTGGAGGTAATTCAGGTGCTCGCGGTCCTCCACCGTGAACAGCACCAGGAGATTCTGAATATAAGGGTCGAGCACTGGGAGATCCAGCCCACAGCAACATCGGCCACCCACCCTCCCATTATTCTACACAAAATGGGACCACTTCACGACCCGGAAGTGTTTCTCGACTTGTTTGAGAAAACGGCAGAGGCGTGTGGGTGGCAGTGGGCCGATTGGCCGGTGAGAGTCATCCCGCTGTTGGGCAAAGCCCAGACCGCCGCACAGCACTCAGGATCAGGATCGCTCAGGTTCTCTAATTAGCTGGAATTACTCATTAAGATTCTTGGTAACATTTTATAATAACTACACACTGTAAATCATTTACTAAGCATTAGCATCTAGTAAATTCATTATTTGTTAAGCATTAACTCTACATTAATAGACGTTAGTAAACAGTTTATAACTGCAGCTACAAATGCTGTATTCTTCACTTACATTTACATTTATAATGTGCTTAACAATTGTACTTTCATACTTAGTTACTGATTTATTTTTCATTACTAAATTAAGTTGTATTGCATTATTTACAAACCAGTTGTATTTAAGAGTAGTTGAGGGTTTTTAGGATCATTCAGAATAAGTTAATAAATGAATAATAAACTATTGAAATCAACATTTAAATATTTTATTATTCAGGCATATACTAATAGTTAACTAATATGTTAATAAATGCTTTATTAATTCAACTTCATGCAGTTTTGTGACCTAATCTTAAGTGAGGACTAATCATGCTTTATAAATCCCTTGTAAAAGACAAATAAAGGCTCAGAATCAAATAAACAATAATTTGTGCAATCTTTTCTAAAAAGTAAAATTACTGTAAAGTTTAAACATTGCCAAATAACAGTAGCGTCAAAATGCGACATTAAACTGGATAAAACAACAGCAATATAATAATTTAACAATATAATAAGATGCAATGTTTAATCTCTGTAGTGATTTTATTTTAGATCAGGTTGCACAGATTTACTTTTCATTTGATACAGATTCATTTGTGTATCTTTAAATGAATAAGATTAAATAATGTAATTTTTCCTGTTTAGAATTTAACTGAGCCTTTATTTGTCATTTATAAGGGATTTATAAAGCATAAATAGTCCTCACTTTAGATTAGGTCACAAAACTAGATGAAGTTGAGTTAATAAAGCACTTATTAACATTCATAGTAACCATTGATATATGCCTGAATAATAAGACATATTTATGTTGATTTCAATAGTTTAATATTCATTTATTACCTCATTCTGAAAGATCCTAAAAACCCTCAACTACTCTTAAATACAAATGGTTTGTAAATAATGCAATACTTCATTTAGTAATGAAAAATAAATCATTAACTAAGAATAAAAATACAATTATTAAGCACATTTTAAATATGTTTGTAAGTCAAGAATAGAGCATTTGTTGCTGCAGTTATAAACTGTTTACTAACGTCTATTAATGTAGAGTTAATGCTTAACAAACAATGAATTCACTGTTTGCTAATGCTTAGTAAATGATTTACAGTGTGTTGTTATTATAAAGTGTTGCCGGATTCTTTTTTTTTGTTGTTGTTTTTTTTTTTAGTGGTTGGTGCAATTGTTTCCTCTAATGGTTTGAGTTATTGGGTTTAACAGTGTACTATTCAAGTGCAGAGATCTCAAATTAGGCAACTGCTCTAGGCTCTTCTGAAAACCTGTATTTTCAATAATACTCACAAAACTGTTTATTTCTCAACAAACATTTGTAGACATATGTAACAAATATGGCCGATCAGACACAATTATTTTGCTTTTATTCAACAAATGCGTTTTTTGCAAGGTGTTTTGCAACATTTCCCTTGCTCCTGTATTAAAATTATGCTAATACTTCTGCAACCAATGTTTAACTTTATCACAGCTAAACAAGCTCATAGTTCATATTTGATGTCCCTGCAAAGCTAATATGGTGTACTGACCAATGGTTTACATCTCATCTTAATACGCGTACAACATATTAACATTTTAAAAAATGTGAACATTTCTGCCTCAGTTTACGTCACAATACCTATGCAAATACACTTCTGAACAAAGGACTATAAAAAACGACTCAGGGAATTTTCACTTTATTGGTCAACTTGGCCCTGGAGGGTGGGTACAAACCATCCTTACAAAAGCTTGTGCCTAAGGCCACAGCCCAAGAAACCCCAGAAACAGAGAAACCAGAGAAAACCTGAGGCCAGAGAGGAGGGCCCAGGCTCACAGAGAAAGAATTGAACCCAGAGGACTCCAGGGAGCAGGCGAGGATCCAGACAAAATGGATTAATAACACTGCTTAGACATTCTCATCTCGATACCTTTTCTTCCTTTTCCGCCGAGAGTCTAGTAGAGTTTAGTGTACAGCAAAACCTCTTGAAACGACCTACTCCACCCCGCTCCAAACCTCGTTAGGACAAAGAGCAACCAGCTAGCTACGTACTCAACAGAGGGAGTTTCTTCACATCACATAAGGAACGCAAGCAGGGGCAGACTGGCCATCTGGCAAGCCGGGCAGTTTCCCGCTGGGCAGACGTACTTTTTGAGACGGGCTGATCATCTTCTTATGATCTGATCGGCCTATAAAACACTTAACAGTCTATCGTTTTTTTTTCTGTCTAATTAATTGATGATGTTGTGATCTGTGACACTCTGAAAGTAAGGTGTTTTTTTTATCGGACAGACAGGCCCATGTGACATAATCTGCAGCCCACGGGTTCTTTTTTTTTTATTGACATTGGCCTGACCCAACTCCCTATGTGGGTTCTGTGTGAGCGTGCAATATCGGTGTGTTTTTGTCAAAATAGTTAAGAGTCAGAGAAATGGATAAGAAACGGAAGGGAGGCGCAGACCATTTGAAGTAGAAAATATACAGGCTCTTCAAACAGACACTACAAAATGTTGTAAAATAACAAAGATGTTTCCCGCCACTGCCGTGGGACCTTCATCAGCTGCTGTGGCTGATGAGAGTGGTGATGCCAGTGTCGTGCTGAAAAACACACCCCACAACACTACTGGTAGCACCAGTGAGGAGGAAAAGGGAGGGTTGAAGTGAGTGTAGAGCCTGCAGTAAGCAAAATTGCTTTCAAAACACTTACGGTACATGTATGTAATAAATGTAAATACCTTTGTCAAAACTTAACCAAACATTAAATAATGAATATTAGCACTGTAATAAATTAATAGCATCTTATGATCTGTGACTATCAGTTTGGCTTGTTACAATTATGCCTGCGGGAGTAGTAAGTAATGCCATACATTTAAAATGGTCAAAATGATTTTTATCATGCAAGCAGCAGATCTTTAAGCTATGTTTTGATGTTTCAGTATTGAGTTAAACGTTTTAGGGTGCTTTCACACCTACCTTATTTATTTTGGTTGAATCGCACTTGAGTTCATTTTCCCTGTTGGTGTGGTTTGTTTGGGCTAGTGTGAATGCAGCAATCGTCCTCGAGTGTGCACCAAAATTGGACCAAAAAAGCCTTCAAGCAGGTCTCGGTACGATTTTAAACGAACCCTGGAGCAGTTTGTTTGTGGTGAGAATATGATTCATACTAAAACAGACCCAACCGCAAAAAACACTGCTTTTGAACTAATCCAGCTGCCGTAGGCCGATGCGCTGTGCATTATGGGATATAGAGAAAGGTATTTGTTGACAGCGCTTTACCAACAAAGAGAGAGAGAGGGAAAAACATTACCTGATGGATCTTCGGTAATATTAATTCACTATATTAATAAGTGATTTAATTAGTTAAATTAATTCACGCCTCCCCCTGAAGTGATGTGTAATGCATTAAAACATTGTTTTCTGACCACGCTTCATTTTTTAAATGTATAGTTTGTCTAAAGCAGGGATACAATCAGCCAGCCGTTCCTCCAAAGTAAAAAGCAACATTTTGTGTCTGCGGGTTTGTTTACTTGCGGGAGTTCATTGGCATTTTCCCGCACATGAATTCTGACCAATCGATAAGCAGTTTATAGAAACTATGTTCAACAACATCTGGCCAATGAAAGATGTGGATTTAGTCAGATGACTGCATTTTGGTTCTTTTCAACTGATTCGGACCAAAGCCAGCAGTGTGGTGTGAAAACGACCCAAAGACAGAAAAAAATGCAACAATGTATCATTTATTGCCCTTGGTCCGGACCAAATAAACCGAACTACAGATGTGAAAGTACTCTTGAAAGAGTGGATTCTTTTGAAGCCCCAAATGAAAGCTACTTTGTTACAACATATGACAAAAAATGACATAATTCCTCTTAACAAATACAAAAAAATAAATAATAAGATATTTATTAGACAATGTATTAAGATTACAATGTTTTCACAAAAGAATGATAATAAAACATTAGGAAATAATGTTTAACCTATATTATTATTACATTTTATGTTTTTAAAGAATGGCTTTCAGGAGAACAGTGTGAGAACAAAAATATATACATATTTTTAATACAACATTGCAACAGTTGGGAAGACCAGTAATCTAATATTTCTCCTTAATAACATCTTTACCAAGAGATACAGTTGGTTGTTCTTTATTAACAAAAACAGGGAACTTTAGACTAATGAGAAAACACAGGAACATAAACATCAGTGGTTTTCAGACCTGATTCTGAGGATGCACCAGCTCACACATTTTAAATGTGTGAAAATTTAATTTAATTTTATTTATTTATTTATTTATTTTATTCTATTATACTGAGCTGAGTTCATGTAATCCTTGTCTAATAGTCTGGTCATTTGAATAAGGTTTCTTAATGGAAAATGCAAAATGTGTAAAGGGACTTGTACCCAGGACAAGGATTAAAAATAACTGTTAAATATAGATAATAATGTAACAATAGCAACTAAAACAGAAGGTTATAATTACACAAAAATACTAAATTAGGAATAATCTAATAACAGGTGATAAAATTAAGTCATGTGCAGAAATATTCATTTTGAAATATTTGTATTTACAAGTTCTATGAAAGTTGTAAATATTAGTCAGTTTGAGTTATGTCTGATGAAACACGTCCATAGATCCAGTGGATGCAGTGTCTGTCCTGATAAAAAATCAGTATATATTAATTAAATTTAGGCATTCCTTAAAGATAGGCATTCATCATTTTGTAGAAGATACATCAGCATCTTGCCCCAAACCAAAGTATACATATAAACATATATACAAACTTCTCAGCAGGACATGAACACACTTAATGAGGTATGGGAATCATTCCTGTCAAATGAATATAAATAAAAGAATCAATAGAGAGAAAGAAAGGTTTATTATACTTTTAAATTAATCTAATCTCCACAGACCTGTTGATTTTTTTCTGTAGTATAAGATTCCAACAGCCGCTATTATGAATCCCATCACCAAACCAGATGCCCCAACAGCGATTTTATTCCTCTCAGATTCAGGAAGAGATGGATCTGTATTAACAGTTGTGTCAAATTATAATACAAACAAAGTATTAATATGAGAATATGTGAGTGTCTCATCTTACCCCAGTCATAAATCATGGGTTCACTGGAGCTGGCGTGCTCAACCAAACAGGAGATCTTCTCTCCAGGTCCGGGTGTGTACTCCAGCTCAGAGTGGATCTGGTAATACCAGTCACCATCAGCCATCTCCATAGTGGAGGTCACTTCAGAGGTCACCGATTTACCGCCTTTTAGCCAGGACACTTTGATGTGTCGAGGATAAAATTCATACGCACTGCAGATTAACATAGCTGGATGTCTTCCATTCGCCTGTGTTACTGAACTGAGCACAACTGTTGGCTTCACTGAATTAAGAAGAGCAATATAACAAATGCATAATTAGTTTCTGAATCAATGTATGTCTCATGTTATTGTACAGAATGGAAAGCAGCAATTGTAGTAGCCAGATAGCAGAACGTGAATTATCATTGAATCAATAGTTAAAAAGTTGGAATTCTAAATTTTCATCAGGGTTTAGCTTATTTTTTTTTTTTCAATGATAGAAAGATTTGTGAACACAGATGCACTGATTAAGTTAATAATACAATTATGACTGAGCATTATTGATAATCGATGATGAACACCTGCTGTTAACAAGCAGAATCACTGAAGGAACACAAAACTACAACTGACTTCAGTTTGTGTCAAATTAATACATAAAGAAATCATTAAATTGTTTTCTTCTCATTTATCTTGTAACTTCACTGACTTAACTAGAAAATTCCATTAAGCGTAGTGTCCAAATGATGATGAAAAAAATATCTATTATAATCATATTTGAACTTCAATCACTGCCGTAGATTAAATCAACTGAAATAAAACACAGTAAATCTCGAAAATCTCAGCAGAGGATCATTAAACAACTCTATGAACATCATCAGCAACTTCATTTATTACTACCTTGTTTGACTTTATTTCAGACGTTTACCCAAGTCTTCATTTACATTTATTGAAAACTAAAATTTATAATTGATTAAAAATACAGTTTTGGAAGTCACCATTATGGTGAAGAGTGGTTGCTTTACTTGGTCTTTTTGATCCTTCATTCAGCATTGTCAGTTCCCTGGTACTCAAACCTGATCTCAGTGTACAGTTCTAGTATTTAAATGACTAGGGGAATTGGTTTATTTACAGTCAGCTGAGTACAAGGCATGATCAAAGGTAAGTCAGTTTTGGTTAAGTACTTACTGGAAAAGCATATCATCTCAAAGAATTGTGTTTGCTTTGGTGAACTGGTTCAACCACTTAGAAGATCAGGCCATAGATTCTCAGCCATAGATTTTTCCTCAGCACTGGCCGTTTGTACAGTTTATTTTAGAGCAGGGGTGTCCAAACTCGTTCCTGGAGGGCCGGTGTCTTGCATAGTTTAACTCCAACTTTCTAGGGCCGCATTTACACTGCACTGTTCAAGTGACTCAATTCTGATTTTTTTCTCCCATGTGGCACAGATCCGATATGGCCCATGTACGTGTAAGCAGTACACAAATCACATGGATTCCGATTTACAAAACCATATTTCTCTTTTTTTTTTTCCTGGTCATTGCGCCTTTGCGTGTGCTGTGTAAATGCAGATGATCGGATACGAGTCACTTTTAAAAGATGATGTAATCAGGTCATCAAAAAAATCGGAGACAGTCACAAAATTGGAATTAACCATCAAGATCTGCAGTGTGAATGCAGCCTAGTATACCTAGAAAAAGCTTGATTAGCTGGTTCAGGTATGTTTAATTGGGGTTGGAACTAAAATATGCAGGACACCACCCCTCCAGGACCGATTTTGGACACCCGTTTTAGAGGGTTGAGCATAGTAATACAAGAACTTCCCATTTGGGCTCTCCTTGTCTCCACGGGTCTTCACAATGGTCGCAGAGAGTACCTCTGTTGCCTCTTTGGCTAATGGGCATACACATTCCCAACTACCTTGATAGCAGCTAGAAATGCACAGGGGTTTATTGATTCCACACCAGAGGCGGAAATAAAAGCACTATGGAAACAAAAGCACAATCTCATGCAGCCTAGTGGATGGTGCGTGTGCATTAAGTAAATGTGCTTCAAATGTCCCGATTGTACAAATACTCAGAAACTGTGACTTGATGAATTTTATTAATGTTATTTTTTATGACCAAAACAAGACATATTTATTCCCAAAGTGTTCATTCAGATGTCAAACCAATGTTAAAACATAACACGCTACAAGAACACAGCATTTAAAAATATCATTTTCTATTGCTGCATCACCCTGGATTTATACCCATTATCTCTGCATGCTAGTCAGGAACAGTTACCGCTCCACTAAATCGCTTTATGTCTCAATTATAAAACATTGCTAAAAAGCTTTCTTTGCTGAAAAGGTTCCAGAGCCATACATCAAAACATGACCACGACATATCACTGCATATGAAACAATTTAAGCCCTCGCCAATTTCATAGGCATTTTATTGGCCCTTTTTCATACAATTGAGTGTGATTGGACTTCTAAGCAAATCCACTAATTGATTATGCAACAAATTGTCTGTAATGGAAATTCATTTTTAGATAAGCTTTATATGTTAGAAACTTGTCTAAGACTCATTATTACATATGTGTGTATCTGTGTTCTCCATATGTTCATCATAAAACCTATGTGTACATTTTTATAGATAACTATATTTCTTTAGGTGAAAGCTTTTTCATTATCCTAAGAAGGATGTGTGGTTGTTATGAGCATATCGCACGAACAGCAGAAGACGTCTGACGTAATTGTAGATGAGGCCTTATTGGGAGTTGACCTCGTAAGCAGTACAAACTAGATAAAAAGGTTAACACACTTTGCTTAAGTATCTCACTCTGCAGAAACTGTTGTTGCTGTATGACTGTGATCTTCTTTATAAAGAATAAAACTTGTAAAAGACATCCCGGGTAAGACTTTATTTCTTGACCACTGAGAGAGCCTCCTTAGAGAAAATAGCCACTACAATTTGGTGTCAGAAGTGGGATGTCTTGGAGGAACCTTTCCGGACCCTGCGGACGGTGACTGATCATCCTGGGACTTCGTGTCACAGCCCTGCCCCGCGATTGAGGGTTGAGGGGCCGACCGCCGGGCTCGGAGGGGGACCCCACTGACATCTGGGAAAAGAACTCAGTGGCATCTGAACTCTCTGGTAAGAAACAAATTCTTTGTTTATTGTTAAAAAAGGAAATTTAACAAGTTTTGGGTATTTGATTATTGTGATCAAAAATAATTAGAAGGGTTTTTACTGCAAATTGGGCCTCACCATGCTGGTAGATCTGTCTCTGTGGGATAGCGGCGTGATTAATGAAAGTGAAATCGGACATCGGGCGGAGATCGAGACCGTTGTTACAAGTGAGATCTGGCGTTTAGCTGAGATCAAGACCTTATACAAGTGAGATCTGGCGTTTAGCTGAGATCAAGACCTTATACAAGTGAGATCTGGCGCCTGTCTAAGATTAAGACCTTTTTAATACGTTCGGCTAGCTAACTGCGATTTACTCCTGGGAGGGGGTTGAAATCAGGGGGCTGTACAATTTACTTCCAAAAAGAAGCTGAAATCCAGGCTGTGCGATTTACTTTCAGAAGGAGGTTGAAATCAGGGGCCGGGCGATTTACTTCTAAAAGGAAAGTGAAATTGTGTGCCACGAGAAATAGAGCTGGAAAGCTTAACTTGTCGATTTTAGGTGAAAAATCAAAATCTGTTGGAGACGTCCAACAGATTAATAGGTACCGACAAAGTCCAGGGGAAGTTTTTACCAGCATGGGGACGTCTCAAAACAAAGTATGAAGATATGATAGATCGGTGTTTTGGAATATGGGGGAAAAAAAAAGAAAAAAAAGCATGCAAGATATAGGAAAACTAATAAAGTATCACAAGTTTCTGAGGGAAAGGGAATGTTGAGTGTTACTAGGTTAAACAAAATGAAAGAGTTGATTGAGAAGGCAGAAGGAAAAGCAGGTTGTTTTTGTGAAAGGCATGTGTGTGTGTCGTGTGGAGACACTGTTGATTGTTGGCTCAGGGAGGCAGATAAGAGGCAAAGAGGAAAATGCTGCAGAGGCAGCTGGCATGAAAAATGTGAAAGGGTGAATGAAAGAGTAATTAGCACTACTAATCCTTTCTATACATCTGTTTCCATACATGTACCGCCGTACCATCACTATCCCGTGGCTGAGCTGCGAGCCCTGAGAACTGACCCAGAGCTTAACTGCTACTGTCCCAGAAGACCTCCGACCGCACCAACGAAATTCCCACCTCGAACGAGTGGAGGACATCTGTTTGAACTGGAGAAATGGACATTTAACAGACATTCTGCTGTGTGCTCAACATGCTGAAGACAAGCTGACAGCGAAGCACGAGCAAGACAAGAAGAAAGCAGAAAACGAGCTGCACATGGCTCTGGTACAAGCGGCCAACCAAAGATCCAACCAAGACCTGACAACCAAAGATATCGCAAGTTCAAAGGCGACAAAGGTGTCAAGGGTGAGGTAGATAACAGAAGACGGAGAAACTGGAATGTGACGGATGGCGATGAAATCTACAGAGCCTGTGGTGTAAATGACGAGAAACTGTACCAAATGTCTGCGCTTGCCACCGAGATGGACTTTTGGTCAAGGATTGACCCGAAAGGCGCAAACCAACAACGGAGCTGATGTGCGGAGAGGGTAGAGCAGAATGGAGAGGGTCTGGGCAAGCAGCCAACAGCTACAGTAAAGGGAAGTGAACATTTTTTACTAACAAGTTTAAATGCAGACACATTTTTATACAGACATATTCACATACACTGATATACTGGCTCTCTGCAATGAAGAAAAAGCTTGCATTTCCCACTGTAATTTTGATCACAGTGATGTTGATCATTTTTCGGATGAAATGGCATTGTTTTTTTGGTAAGGAAGCATTTTTAATATGACAAAATATTTTATGTTGATTGACACCACTTTGGTTGAGTTTTTTAGCTGATAGCGGAGCTAGCAGATCTTACATACGACCATGTGACCTGCAGTGTGAAATACCTCTATCAACCAAATTTCATAAGTCTCTGTCTGGATCTGGTCATACAGTGGTTGAGCGATTTACAGCTCCGCTGACCTGTGAAACAGAGGGTGGTAAAATTTTCAGACATGCATTTGTTTGTTCACCAAAATGACACGTTTCCATCATCGGAAGGGACATTTTGTGTAAACTAAATTTGATTTTAACGGCAGATTCCTCTGGTGTGAGAGTGATTGAAGGGGAGGAATTTTGTCGTTTACAAATTGAATCACAAGAGCCGAAGTGGGCCTATGAATGGCTGATTGAAGACAATGAATGGG